TAAACACAGTGAGTGGTAAATTGGAATATGCTCAAGTCAATGCTGATGCACCGTATGCAACTGTTCAACAGCCATATGCAGTCGATGATGAAAATGAATTGGAAATCGAAGACGAGCAACTACTAATGGCTGTACACAAGACATCTTGGGATCGTGATATCGTCGCCGCCAAATGCATTCTCATCAAAGGTATGTGTATTAGAAATTTGCATTTGCATATATTCTACATATTAAATGAAATGCACACTATTTGAATGATCTATTTTAGCGCTCGATGATAAATATGTATGCAATATTTAATGACATTGAGAAAATAATAATAAATTTCTGTTGAGATATCTAAACATTTGTATAGATTTAAGAAAAAAAATCATTTCTGCCAATAATCTATACATTATTTCCGTGTGTGTGTTTACTTTTGAATAGGACATTGTGAGCTGTTTGGATGGGATATTCCGGCAGGATTAGACAGACGATCACCGCGACAGCCAGCAGTTCAACCGAATCAGCAGCCTTAAGCATCACCAACCATTCGTACTCGAAAATTAATCAAAAATTAATATTGTAATTTGTTACATTAACTGAGACTGACTGTTGTGTCTCAGCATTTCGAGGAAGTACTTCTAGGTGTTTTTTTCTGTAAGTATTCTTCACTATGAGATTGTATTCATATAATGGAGTGATTGATATTCATATTCAGAGGCAACAATCGTTTTTGGCTTCGGGAAGTGTTGATATAAATCGCTTTGTTGTATCGATGCTACTAACCAGCATAGAATTTTGTCTACTTTCAATTAAAAAATACCATTTTTCTATTTACAGATATGGGAAACACCCTACATTGTACAACGTACATAGTATCGCTGTTGAAATAATATTTTTTATTCAAGTGGATTACAACAGCTAATCCTCGGAGCTCAGCATAAACACTAAACACCATGTCTTATTCATAGTATTGTTTGATAGGAATGGCAATGTTTTCCATTCGAGGGATAAAATTCAAGCGGTGAACAATAGTTGTTGGAAATCAAAATTGTGTACGCATGTGTAGCACATGGAAACGTGTAAGTGAAATAGACAACATGTTGAACCCAATCCGTTCTCAATAAAACCGACCGTATTCCCCAACTTTGATTCAGTTTACGGGCTCCTTGCAATTGAATCGAGTGTCCAATTCAACTGTTTAATTCAAAAAAAATTCACCATAAACACGATGTAGTTTATGGTTGCGTGTCATTCAATGTGTTGTTTGGATTTTCAATAGAAATTTCAAGAGAAAATCATTGTGCTATAAATAAATTCATTTAAATAAAATTGAATAATGTTTTTTCGTCGAGTATTCTCACGAAAAGAACAAAATGAAATGCAACAAACAAATTTAGATGATCATTCATCAAATTCGATTCGAACACCAAACACAAATAATTCGCCATATCGAAGTGTGCGCCGTGCATCAATTTCAAGTGATGAAAAACGAAGTTTAACAATGGTTCAACTAACACCTCTATGGGAGACAATAATACGCACCAAGCGTTTACCAGACACTATAAAAATCAGTGAAATATTTGATGAATTTGCTGAACGCCTTCGTGATCCCGAATGGCAAGTTCGACAACATGCACTTCGAGTGCTGATTGACGTGCTAATCGTAATGTCCGATCGATCTGATCAATATTTTCAGCCATTAATTTGTCCCCTGGTCGAGAATCTGGGCCATTCAGCGCCAGCCATTCGTAAAGGCGCACTTGATGCGTTGAAAGTATATATGACGGAAACGGCGATGCCAGAAACGATTATGTTGGAAATTATCAGTTTGGGCATGGAACAAAAAACATATTTTGAACAATTCGATGGTCGAGTATGTGTCGGTGTGATGTTATCGATGCCCTCATTAGTTTATACATCGCTCGGTACACCGAAACAAAGTCATATCGTACGAACTGCCATTCGAGCGCTGACTGATAAAATGGTTCAAGTTACATATCAAGAAATTGCATTGAAGGTACTTTTACGAATCAGAGAAATGGTTGGTGTTCGTGATTTTTCCGAACATATTGCACATGGTGCATATCGAGATTTTGAACTATTGTGCAATGTTTATGGTTTACCAAGTACGCCGAATACACAAGATCCATCTTTGGAGTTGTGCATGCCTCAAACGTCAGTTGAAACGGGCCGAGTTTGGAATCCAGTGCCATCATCCACGGAATCGAATTCCAAATTTAAACGCACCGAATTATGTTGGCGTGATAAAGCCGACGAAACGTCGGCCGATGAAGAGAATAATACAAGCATAACTGTAAAGACATTTAGTGCTGGATGTAATGGAAATTCAACAGCTGCAACAGCAACATCAACGGAAAAAGGTTGTGTGCAAACGATAAATGTGATTGCTAAAAAGCCGGATAATGAAAAAATCATTATGGAAACCGAAATTCAAATCCAAGATACAGCTGTCACAATGCGAATTTTAGAAGCAAACAGTAATAGCAGTGAGAATGAAGTGGCTGGTGAAAATAGCGAAGATGATTTATCCTCAATGTACGGACAAAATGGTGTTGTGCGCATTATGACCGACAGTGAAATTGATGAAACAAATGGTAGCAATTATACAAATGGCAGCACCATAATCGAAGTACTTGATTCGAATCGTAATTCATTAAAGCGCGTCACATTCGGCGGTGAAGAAGTAAAATTACGAACACCAGACAGCGATAGCGTTTTACAAAGTGACAATGACGATGCACAAAAAGCAATACAAAAAATTGTCGAACAACAAATCGGAGCCAATCAAAATGTTTTAAAACAATCTTCGATTGTTCGTGATCGAGAAGTAAATAATAATTTTTTAACCGTAAAACGTCCACAAACGGCAAGTATTGTGATAACGGCGTCATCGCCGCCAACATCGGATGCAGAAGCAAATAAACAACGACATAAATCTGCATCGCCCGCCAAACGTAGCCGACGACCGTCGTACAGTTCAACCGACGAACCGATTCTATCACCAAAAGGAGCGCACAAAAGTATCGAAGTATTACATAACTTAGTACAACGTAGCCCAAGTGTATCGCCAACACGTTCACGACGAAATTCAATGATAGAAACAAAATCATCCGAAGAAAATGATAAAAATGGTCCAATTGAAATCGATAAGAATGCATCGAATGGGGAAAAACAACCGAACACCACAAAACCAAGTGATTTGATTGTGGAGGAAATTTCATCACCAGAAATGACTCGGAAAGAGATTAAATCATGGGAAGACCTCGGCCTAGTCGATGAGCTTTGTCTACGAAATTTAAAAAGTGGGGTAAGCCAATTTGAAAAATATATAATCTGACACTTTCAACACTTTGTCACTAGCCGCGAATCTTATATAAGAAATTCGATGAATTTCCGTCAGTATTTTTCATTCTCTGCTTGCTATTACTATGGCAGAAAGAAAAAAATAGAGACGAAAACGACCCGAATAAGTTTATAGTTTTATCATGAAATCTAAATAACACTTCGTTTGTTTTATGCATGGTGCTTAGAAAAAAAGAAGTGGAACGAAAAAAATGCTTTTGTTATACATGTGCAACGAACATACAAATCTTATAAGTAATGACACACGCGATGTGTCATTCTTAAACTCAAACAATGCCACTCGAATTATTCCGTACGTTTGCGTAAATTGTGCCAAAAAAATACGAGTTAGAATTAAGTGTTTAAATGCGACAACCTGACAACCGCCGACATCGATACACACAAACACAAAAAAAAAGGAAAACCGAAGACCGATTTGAGGGTGGAATCTACATTACTTAAAATGCAGGCGAATCACGAATCGCTTTCTTTTCTATTTCATCACTCTCTATTTTTTTTCAGTTTGGAAAAAAATTGTTTCGGTTTCCTTTTGCCAGGTTCATGTTGTTCAGGTGCGACACATTAGTGGTGTTATAGAATTTATAAAAGCGTTCCATGCATGTTATTGTTGAAGTTCATAATAATGATTTTTGTTTTGCTTTTTTGGCGCAACTTTGTTTATTTTTCGAATCGGTTTCATATGTCATTATTTTTGCCTTCCATAATTTCTATCAATCAATAAATCAATACGACTGAATTGAATCACTTTTTTCCAAATAACGAGTAATTTTTTTTCCCCGTCCATCCATTCGTATGAATGAAATCAAAGTGGTGAAATCAAACGCTTGCTGAGTGGATATTTTTTTGTTGTTGTTATTTATTTTATTAAAGAATATGAATTTCAAAGCGCTTATTTGACCTAGTCTTGGCACGTCGCATGTAATTGGGTGAACCGTTTGCCTTTTTTAATAGAAAAAAACATACAACATTCAGCGATTGAAAACGGAAATGATTTCTATTAAAATTACATGTATGCCAGTTTTTACATACACATATTCTTAATTCAAAGTGTGTTGGCTTTTTTTTTGGGGCAAATAAATTCAATTTACTCATAATCATGCGAAAAATCAATAGAAAACGAAAAATATATGTGCAAATTAAATGTTTGACATAAGGATAATTTCGTTGTGGCAAACCCATTGTTGCCCGTCACCACCACTTCTGACGCCGCCGCCACTGACACCCGGTGTCAAAATATCCGTATATCTTCCATATTTCGTGAACAAAAGCAGTCGATTCAATGTGACCGTAGCGGCCTAGTTTTTCTACTTTCGATCGAGTTTCACGCAGATCATTTGACTAATAATGTGTTGTTGGAATTTTTTCTAGTCTGATTTGGACCACATGAATGGGTGACCATTTAAGTTTTTCACCCAGTAGTAGGCATATTTTCAACTGGTTAATCTAGATTATGGTTGGTAATATTTACGATATTCTTTCACGGAATGTGCGCACCATATGTGTGCCTACAAGTGCGTGCGATGAAAATCAAAACTTATCACCCCATTGTTTGTATTTTGATTAGCCGAAAAATTGAATATACAATTTGGAAAATCTGGGTCACCGACATTTTTCATTCTTTTTCCAACATTCTTTCGTTCTCTCTTTCTCGTATTGTCGAATCATTCAACTGCGAAAATATGATTTCGATCGACGGGTGAGTTTGCAATATAGCCGGTTCATCATTTTGGTCGTAATTAAAAATTCTCCCTTCTGGTCATTAAGAACAACGGAAAATACGAATGTGTAGTCGAATAAAGAATGGGCCATTATAAATCGCTTCACCGCTGTTTTTTTTGGCGCATATAAAAGAAAATGTAGAATGTTGCCCCGCCGACATGCTATCTTGTTACTCATATCAGGTGATTATGATTTGTGAGGGTGATGTTGCATTTGTATAATGTCTCAATAAAAACTTCGTGGCGAGCATGTATCGGGTCAGGAACGTTATCGCCACACAAATCATTCGATTCATATTGTAAAAGTGGATGTGAAAAAAAAGCCAAATGAAAGTAAAATTCAGTCAGCTGGTCCACATTTCTGTTGCGTGTCAATACCCAAATGCGCATTAAGATGCGAAATTTAAAATACGTTATGTGTGTGTATGCGATTTGAAAAATAGCTTGTGGTCATTAAGCACTTTTCAGTTTTCACTCGACGATTTTCTCTAGACTCGAGAAATACCACCGTCAATTTTACCTTTCGCTTCATTCTCGACCCAATTCCATTTTTAATTTACATTCTTTATGACCGACGTTAATGTTCATATATATATATATGCGTCGGACTCTCTGTTCCCGTTTGTTTGTTCATTTTTTTTTTTCAACGCTTGAAAAGTAAATCCTTTTCTATGTAATTAGACATAATTACGTCGGGATTGTATGCATTTTCGCGTCATTTATATTAAAAGTAATTGTTGTGTTTTTGGAACAACAAAAAAGAAAACAAATAGAACAAGCGATTGAATTTCAGCGTTTTTAGATCAAAATAAAAATTGCCCCATGAAAAATGGTATAGAAAAATGGGCAGCCTGAAAAATCAACATAGTCAAAAATTATGACACACCAACGTGGTGCTTATCTTGTTGACGAATATAAGATATGTTTTGGTTTTGGCTACGTGCATTATCCTCACACAGGCACATACTCATTTCGTTGGCATAATAATAATTGAATAACACCACCATTAATGGCCAAAAGACTTTGTAACGAAACACTTTATCTTGATTATCTCTGCGCTCATTTATTATGCCACTTTTCATTATGTGGCAATTTTCCATTAAATGTGTCTATTGCATGGCACCTCAACCATCATAACATATACACTTAATGACGTATAAACGTTTAAAATAACTCTACTGATATAATTCATGCATTGAGATAGACGATGAATGATAAATGGCATTCCAGGTTTTACGTAATTCGACGTTTATTTTCACTATGAAACTTATGAAAACTTATCCATATTCAAATCGACTTCGGTATGGTTTATCAACCATTTAAATTTAATAATAAAATGTTTCCATTCAAGAAAAGAAAAGAATTTGCAAGTATTTATGTAATCAACATTCATAAAACATTTTATTAAAAGACTGTTTTAATCCATCGTGTCAAAAAACTGGATAAGGAAAAGTCGTGCCACGTGCAAAAAAACGATACGGAATAATATCGCAATTAAAATGGGAAATGCTGTCGACTGCAGTAAAATTTAAAATAATTTTTCCAACCTGAATGGACATTTTCTTTCCGCTACTATAAAAACTCATGAATTCTTTGTTGAAAATGACATATAAAATTCAATTGTGAGAATTAAAATTTCTTTGAAAAAAAAAACTGTGAATCAAAAAGTGTATTTTATGCATAGCCTTGTTGGCGTGTCAAAGAAATGAATGATGACAATCTTCAGTCGTAAAGACTTAGACATTTTTTATGTTTCAACAATTAATTTAAAGATTTTTCCATTGAATGTTTCAACTGCGTAATAAGCTCCCTGCTGGTTCATATGTGACGTAAAGTGAATAATTCAAAAGCAAATATTTTTATAAATGGCGAAAAAATTCAATGAAATTCAAATCAAACAAATATTGCATGGAATTTATTATAGGATTGGCGTTTACGGACGAATGCAATGGTGGCGATTGAGGAAATGCTTAAATCGACAGATAATTTGGCATCGATTCAACCGTATTTGGAGTCATTGTTACGGACATTACTGTCATCGGAGAAAAATTTAGATGTGTTGAATGACAAAAGGCGAATACTTGTTAATTTGATTTCAAGGCTTCCATTAGAAAATCTAGAATCAAGAGCGACGCAAATTATTATTGGACTATGCAGACAAGGTGGACCGGGAGGTAATCGTGTGGCAAAAGCGTTAATGCAGCGATTACCACCAACAGCCGTTGTGATCAAACTTATATCCGATGATTTTTTGAAGACCCATAGCTCAAGGGTGAGTTTACAATTTTATAGCAAAAGAAAAATGTACTTTCGATCGAAAACTAACTCATTTTTATCACTTCCATCGGAAAATAAACAACTAAAAGCCAAACACATTTTTTTATAAATACATCGTAACTATTATTTTCGGTTCTTATAAATACACCACTAAAGTTCAGTCAAACATACTTCCGCATTTGCCTAAAATTACCTGTTTGTTTAATAAATAAGTGATAAGTCAACGAACTTTCTTATTAATCATATAACGAACTATTGATTTTCTCATCGCTTTCAGTTTCGTGAAAATGCGTTACAAATGGTTCTTTACGCATTGATGACATTTCCTTCGACATATTTCGATTTACACACGTTGGTAAAAAAATCGGCAGAAGCGGCCAATGATCAGAAGAAACGAGTTCGTCAAGCAGCATTGGACGTTTTAGCTGTTCTCGGGCAAATCAGTACGCCAAAAACTGTTCTCGAAGAAGTGACTGAAACGTTACGACATGAAAAAGAGGCACATCGTTTGATAGCTGCCATTAAAGCGCGCTTATCGAGAAAGCAACTTCCATCGGTGACGCCTGAAGGATCGGTTCATTATGCATTACGAATACCGACGCCACCTCAAGTCATATCAAGCTATTATTTTGGAGCGGACATTGATTGGATCACTGCTGGTTAGTAAAATAAAACACAAAATAGAATACAATTTTCTATTTCGTTGTTAATTTCTGCAAAAAAAATCGATTTTATATGTGTTCGCAGGTATTGGTTCGGTTTCACCCGTATCGTCGAAAAAACGCTTTGATCCAACACAAATGGCGTACAATTATTCGTCCAGTGATTCAAATAGGTAATTTCAATAGCCTTGGCATAAAATTCTGCTTTTATATTCAAATCCTTTATTATGATTTAATAACATAGACACTCTGATGGAAATTCGGTTTCTTTTGCATTTTATAACGTATACGAATAGGCGCACTGTCGAAAGATACAGTTTAAATACTAAAGGTTATAAAGCACAAATATTCGCCAGCGAATTTATGTCGACAGCAATCAAATTAAAATCAAATAAAATTGAAAGTACGAACCCCATTTGGGTTGCAACATTGAGAAGCAACAATCATTTTACCTCAACACACAAAAAAAGACACATTCTAATATGTCACATATCATTTCTTGCTATTTCCAACAAGCCCATTCTTCTGGTTAGTTTTATGTCATCCGCACACAGTTCATTCAATTATATTTTTAAACTTAAGTTCAAACATTTCCTTTAATTTTTGTTCAGCAAAAACAATGTGATTTCCCTTAGTATTAACCAATCACATACACAATACCAGTTGAAGTGGAAAAGCTTATGTTTTATCAAAACAAAACCACAACAGCAAACGTAGTACTATACAATATTAATAAGCATTTAACATGAATGACACGAAACATCATCGACTGAACACACTCAAAATTGAGTACAATAACAGCGCATTTTCCACGTGCTATTTATTATCTTTTTTAGAAACATATTGAATATGTTTGCATGGAACACAGAGTACCCAGCCAGATTCAGTGGTGTTTATTTATGTTTGGTTTGAAATTCATAAAAATATCGTTTTTGTTGAATCATCCCAACATTGTTTTGGAATAACGGCGGAATTTCCATTGCGTACAATAAACTTCCTGACTTTATTGTTATACCCTATACCCAATCCTTTATTGTTTACAATTATGTTTACAATGTTTGAAATATCAAGAACAATAACATATTTACGATTTCAATGTCAAGTTTTATTTTTTTCTAGAAAAATAACTGCACAGCATTAAAAACTACTTTTTATTAACAAAAAAATTAAATTAATGGTGGTAGAACAAAAAAATACATAGCAAATTTTGCTGAGTTCGTAATTATATAAATATCAGATTTTGTCAATCCTTTACAAAATAAAAAATGTATGGAAATTTCTTATTATAATTCAAAACAGTCGAATTTAAACATTTTAGTAACTTTTCATCGATTTTTCACTAAAAAATATAGATTGAAGAATATAAATATTACCAGAGTTTTAATGGCACACGGAATTGGTGTCTTCATTTAATGCAAGATGATTAGATAAAAATTGCGTTGTTTGGACGGTGTAGTATTTCATTTTAGATTAAACTTTGTTTATTTGGCGTAGTTTTATTAGATCAATCAGAGCTTAATGAGTGGTTTGCGTGAGAAATAGTTAAATAACGTAAAAAATTATCATCGTATCATATTGAAATTGTCTTGATGAAAATTATATTAATAATAAGAATGATAAGAAATGTATTTGAGAATATACATAAAATACTGCAGTATCTTTAAAATACTGTATAATCAAAGAAATCCGACTCACATAAAATATCTCGAAATAGTGAACTTAAAGGTAGAAAGTCGTTGGAAAATATTCGAACAATGGCTGCAGAAACTTGTGATATGGAGTGAAATTTTCATTTATTCATCACTTCAATCAAATTCAAAATAATCGATATGAAATCTAAACGTTCAACTTATATGGTAATCCTTCAGTAGTAATAATCATTTAGAATGAATGACATGAAGTATCATCGACTGGAAAGACTCTGAAATTACAAAACATTCCACGTGTTTGGTTGCTTTTATTTTAATTATTCATCACTTGCTCATTTCGTATACCACGTACAACACACGCTTTATAGCTAGATTCATAATGATGATTGGAGAATATGAAATCCATAAATCGTTTCTTTAAATGTTCACCTAGTTGCGTTTATTTGCTTTGAATGGCCAGTTGATGCAGTCGTTAAAATGCCCTTGACTAGGGTTGCATGCAGACATATCAAATGAAATGAAACCACTCCGAATGGCCATCGTTTATATGCTTTAAATTTAATATGATGTATCGTTACACTGGCGAATGTTTCAATCTTTTTCCAATAATCATTTTTGTTTTGTTTTGTTCATTTCAGAAGCATCGATCTAATGCGAAGATCGATGAAAGATTTAAGCGCCTACAATATGGGTTCGAGTTCGGAGATAGACAATGGATATGCATATCAAAAGGTCACGCCGGTAAGTTGCTTTTTGTTTCAGATAAACGATTTTTTTATGAAATCCAATTTAAAGCGGTAATTATGAGATGAAGTACAAGATTAGCCTTTGAAGCTGAAAACAATTTAGATGTTACTTATGATTTTACGCTAATCCCGAAAATGCGTGTTCCGTATTAAAATGAGCCGCATTCATTTGGAAAAAATACTGCATTATAACATGTTATTTAAAATCAATTTTGAGTCGGACGATGAAAAGTTCAAAAGTGTAATGCCAATGAAACAACGTGTACAATGTATGATTATTTTAGTAAAGCGAATCGGTCAGATTGCGTGCTTATCGTGCCAAATTGATTGTGATTGATTGATTGACACACCCCATGCACACGCGATCTCATTCCCATTGAACGGCACATGGCAATATTTAAAAAAAAAAAACGCAAGGCATTTTTCTCAGCAATGAAAATGTCAGCATCACAGGAATGACACAAAATTTTGAATAAATTCGGCGATTTTTAGTTACTTTTCCAGGAATATCGCATGACGCCTTTTTCCATTTTGTTTATATATCGATTTTGCAATTTTCGCAGCAACGGTATAATAGTACAAGCAACAAATTTCTTTTGGAAGTAAACAGTTTTCGGTACACCTGCATTCCCGATTCGACGGAATGTGCAATTGGACTGATGGGTGAAAATGCCCCAATAAACTGACAGGAAAATTACATACAACTCGCGACATTCGCGTTAAAACCGATGAAATTACAACCAAGCACACCAGTACAAATTCATGTACATTACACAAACAGAAACGTTATAGTAATGTTTTGCTGCTGTAGCATACCATTTTACAATTTAAATTGAACAGTGTGAACGTATTACGTGTCAAAGAAAACGACTGGCACAGTAGACAGTTCATATATGCCGCTTTTAATGGATGAAACACATCACAACGTTGGAAAATTTGCTTAAATACAAAAACAAATGAAAAACTTGGGCTTTCGTTTTTCCAGTAGTTTACTACTCACATGGAAACGTCAGTCGTTTGGTGGCATTCCATCGATATTCACATGAATTTTTGAATCCTCACAATTCATTCGTTCAAGTCTATTCACCTCTATGTCTTTCAAACCAATTCCATAATATTAATGAAGAAAAAACCGGAAAAAATAGAAGAATATCTTATAAATTTGTGATTTTTCATTTACATAAAATGTGCAGCTAAAAATAGAACTTTGTGTTGGTTTCCAGTGTGTGTCTGTCTGTCCAATTACAGTGCAATCACATTGAATTTTTTGTAGTTGGCCAATTTGATTTTAAGGAATTGTGTGATTTGTGCTCTTTTTGTTGTGATTTTATTCGAAACAAAAATGTTCCTTTGTCGAATTGTTGGTTATGCTCCTGTTACGATAAAAAAATATACGGTGTGTATTATTACATGAATTTTAATTGGTGAAACCTCCATTGACTGCTGTGGGAATTTTACCATTACGAAAATGCAAAATATTCCACAAAATTATGATTGTTCGGTTACAATCAAATTTTCAATTGAATCCTTGAGTAAATGTTGATTTCGTCACAGTGAATATTGAAAAATTATTTACAGAAAGTAATGTTACTTTTAAATGTAAAACCATTTCGTCTATTACATTTTTTCTATTGACCATCGAATCTAATGAATCTAATATTAAAAATGGTTTTACTGAACAATATCGATTTTCTATCGCTGACAAGAATATAATAAACTAATGGTTCGACTTTCAGTTTTTATTCATCGTTCATTCAAATGATATACTCGCGGTAAAACGGCAGGAATGACCACATCGTGGATAACAAGTATAACCCAGAAAATGCGTACGCTTTGAATAGAGCGAAAGCTCCATTCATTTGAATGCCCAAACTTTCAATGGAGCTACGGTCAACGGTCAAGCTTTTTTTTAAATGTTTCGATATTTGGCGATCGCATGTTTCTTGTTAGAACTTTGAATATTAAGTTGAATAAAAAAATGTAATTTTCGAAAACTGGGTGCAAAATGAATAATGAATAAAAACACGACCAAAAATATTCTTAAATTTAAACTTACAACTTTTTTTAAGACAATCGAAACTTCAATGTCATTTTTCTCATTTTAGCGTGATGATAAAAATACACATTTTGTCATGGCGGCACAGATTCCCACTAGTCATATCAGATTTCCTCCAACCGGTAAGTATTTTCTTTTCACATTTTTGAGATTTTTCAGCAAGAAAGTATGTGAAGGGTCTATTCCTCTGCCTTAAATATGAATGAGTTATTTATAGAGACACGTATCAATTAAATAAAACACGCTGGTGCTTTCAATTGCAGGTCTTCATAAGCTAAACTTACAGTCACAATCATTCCCCGACCTCACACGTAGAGACACAAAAATTGGACCATATAAACCGAACCATGTCGATGGTAGTAAATTGTCGAAGCTACCAGTTGCTTCAAGGTGAGAAATGCAATCAATTTAATAAGTATTCTGTCTCTTTTAACCCAATTGACATCTAACTTTTTTGGGTCATTGATATCAATCACGAAAATACATTCTCGATTGTTTGATCAAAAACAGGTTTCCATCGATGGAATCAAATATCGAAGCACGAAATAAAATCGATCAAAATTATTATCATGGAAGTACCAATCGTTACTCAATTTATCCAAATAACAATAGTTTTGCAATGAGATCGAATGGATCATTGCCGAGAAAATTCCATACCAGCACAAATATTCCCGTCCGAAATGATTACCAAAATTATTCTCATGGTATGTAAACTTTGTATGCACTGTGAATAACACATAATCCAAATGCCAACGTTCTAAATAAAACATTCAGCAAAGTTCTTGATATTGCCTTACATATTCATTACAATTGTTATTATTTACTTTTTTAATTTTTCACAAAATTGACCGTTCACGCGATATTTGTATGTTTTAGGTGCTTTGAATAGCCAAAGCTCCAATGATGAATCAAGACCTTCAACGCATCCTGATGAATATTCACAGCCGCCACCGAAGCGTTTCGTGAATGTCGACAAGTACTTAGACGAATCGTCGAGCGAATCGAATTTACCATTGAAAACTCTGCACGATATTCGGTGAGTGTGACCTCATTTTTTTCACCTCATTTGAGAAAGATCCTAGATTTACCAGACAGACAGAAATGATTTGTTCTTTTGGCGCAAAAAAAATAGTTATTTATTTAAACGAGCAGCTGATTTGGCGAAAAGATTGGAAAAAAGTAGGTTTCTATCGATCGACCCAATATTCAAATAATGGGGGGGGACGAAAGAAAAGTTCAAACGATTAACTCATAGCGATATTGAAACATATAAACAATGAAAACGACATGGCAAAAAAGAGAAACAAGAAGAACTAAAGTGGCAATGGAAATGACGGTAATTAATATGAATTGGAACTTTGGGGCGCCACAATCAATCGGACGTCTATAGAACTTATGCTTGATATAAAATACGTTTTTTTATTTGCATAAGAAACAATCCGAAAGAACATAAATACGTCGAAAACCCATATCGATCATATGTGCGGCAAAACAGTGAAATGACCATCAACCTAAAATCACAAAAACCACGAAATTATTTATTCAAATCGTAATAAAATTGATGTCGCTACAAAACACATAAAATCACCTTATCATCGGATATAAATCAAAATAAGTCGCATGTTCTTTACATTTCGCTTATTTTCATCGTGCCGAAGATTAATTCAACATAATTGTTGGTAGATTTTTATGTTTTCGAGAACAAGACTCCCCACAATGCATTATTTTGAATATATATATATTCAGTATATAAACAGTTAGCGATGGAGAATCAAAATGATGAGAGACATATGTGACGTTTATTCAATTTATTTTGACGAGCGAAAAAAAGAACTGGTGATAAACAAAAAAAAATGTGCAGCTCAAGTTTTTGACATTGAAATCGAGTTGTAACAGCTGAAATATAACAACAACTTTTTTTGTTCAATCAGGCATTTTAATCAAGCGGTCTCTTTTACCGTATACCCATTGATTGTCCTACCCGGACAGCTTTCTAAGCGCCACTGCTGTGCTTTCGCTCTTCATTGATTAGTTCCATTCAATTACGTTTCGCTTTCCATCGAAAGCGAGTACATTACATGAACCCACACGATTCGGCGCCGGGACAACTCTAACAAAACAATTAAATCTCCATTAAATTGTATGGGGAACACTTGTGCAAACACTTATACACAAGCTGCATGTATTTTGTGTACGTGTGAAACATATTAAATGCACACGATAAAAATACACATACACTTAAAATATCCGAATGAATTGTGGTTTTCATTCGATGAAATTACAAATTAAATGTATTCAAAGGCGAAATATGCTGTGTTCATACTATTTTATTGAAGTCTATTATTAAGTGCAGTATGTCTTTCATTCGAACGTTACCACATTCAACCAAATAGAAATTCATTGTGAGTGATACGCGTGAAGAAAATCAAAGCGGTTCAAATCACACAAAGCCATTAACTGTCGGTTAAATATAGTATTCTAACCAGTAGCACTGCAAAAATGATCGAAAATTGTTGTCGAATATTTTACATAGTAACGTAAATTCTTCTTTGTCTCTACCAAGTCCTTGCATTGTTTCATTTTACTATGTTCACACTTCATAGTAAGGGATTTAAGCAAATGGGTAAAATATTTTGTGTAATACTAATTGTACTTTGTTCACAGTGTAGTGTTTTGCGATTGAAGTTGGGATGAGACGTCGTCAATAATAATATATTTTAGATAATGGCCGTGATTTAATGGTTGTTTCATTATAGACGGTAGTGATTTTTCCATTCACGGAAAATGCGTAGAAAGTCTACAACTGCGACGAATAGAAAAAAATAGAAAAATCGTATGATCCAAATAGAAAATATGAATATGCGGTGAAAAATACACCACTGGAACAAATCCACTTAAGGCATGAAAAAAGCATATAAGAAAATCAAAACAAGCACAAGGAATATGCTTACACTAACACATACACATTTGGCCGCAATGTGGAAAAGTAACGGAAACACGTAGCCCAAAGCTATATCGTGTGGTAGCCTGAATAAAAAATGAAACGCAAATGAGAGCACACGTCCTACACACAAAACGTCCACATTCATATACATACACTCACTCGCACATTGTGTTGAGCACTTCGTTATAGTGGCATTAATATAAAATTGGTGACCAGTACTGTTTTTTAGTTCAGTCGATAAACAGGACATGCAAAAGCACAATTTTTCCCAGGCAGTAGACACACTTTTTTAAACTTGGAAAAGCCACTATAAAAAAAATAATGAGAAAAATACCAATGTCGGATGAATTTATAAATGTTACAAAACGCTTTTTTTTTTTTTTTTTAATGAAACGTGTTGATCTAAATTGATAAAGACGGCGATTGTTTTCTGTGATTGAGCATTGTTGTGAGCACTAGCTGTTCGATTTTCAGATTCAGTCCAATTGGATTTTTGTCCCAAATTTTTATTCAAGAAAATACTCCACTGAAAATATGAAAAGAGGACATTTTTGATGTAAATGAGAATAAGTGTGTAATTTCTGTGTAAAACGTAATAGTTTTTTTCGAAATAGAAATTTTTTTTCGATGAAAAACATTTGTTGAAATTTTAAATTATTATTCGTGTTTAACAAAGAAAAGTAGAATTTCTCGATGAAATATTTATAATGTTGAATTTAATACAAACAAATATGTGTGGTGGCAATAATACGAATCCTTCGAATGAGACTGAAAGTCATTATTTAAGTAGTAATCTTCAACAAAATGGTAATTTACGAACCGAACAATTTGAAGAGAGTATGAAAATTGAGCAAATTACAAGTGGTGATCGAATAGCGTACATAAAATTAAATGATGAAGTGGCATCGCCCACGTCAGCTAAAAGTGAATTACACAATCGTCGACACAGGTATTTTCTACAAAACTATCCGGACTTCTTTCGGCACTATTGCATGTGTTTGCATCGAAAAGTTGAACCGGATGACCTAAATACAGTGTCCTGCTTAGTGGATGATAAATACAATAGTTTTCTACTCAATCATACGCCAATCATACCAATCACGGTCGATCCAAAAAAGTATGTGATTTTTCAATTCGCCCCCCATTTATTATAATTATATCTAAATGATGGAATTTTATTTATATAGCCGCCCAATACAAGTGCTTATTTATGAAATTATCACTTTTGCTACGCGCTTGTACTACATTTAATGAAAATAAATTTCAATTAAGTTTAACGAATGCTTCGAGCTTTGTCTGAGCTGGAGTGCGTTGCCCTCAAGTAATTCCAAATGTGTAACGATCGATTGAAATATTTTGAAATAAACATAAAACAGAATAAAAACATCGGTCCGAGTGGACAATAGAATAGCCGAAGTTAAATGATCGCATGCAATTTACCTTTCAAAAAAAAAATTGAATGCGCAATGGTGCGCTCGCGTTCGCTCAATTTATGGCTAAATCAAACACAAAATATCGTCATATGAATGCATTTGCATGCTTAAACTCAATTACATGCCGCCGTTCATATCAAACATAAACGTCGCTAAACAAACAGATTTCAGTTAATGTACATCGGATACGTTTGTTGTCCTCTTTAATATCATTTTAAAAACATGCAGTCGCCTTACTACACAAATTTTCAAACAAACAGATATTTGCCGGCCTTTTTGTAAGCATAACAAGTGCGTGTTACAGCATGCTTTTTTCGCCATTGCAATTTTAACCAAACACAAAAGAATTACCTTTTGTTTTTCATTGAAAGCAACCGAATCGAAATTGACTTTAGATTAAAAAAGCGATTGCTGCTTTTTTGTCGTTTTCTTGATGTAGTTTTCGATGTCGAGGGAGGGAAGTATTGCTTTTTTGGGGTAAAACAATGTTGTATTACACTGTAAGCGCACTGCATTAAATATTAACAAAATCATTTGGTATTGTCGATAAATTTGGATTGTTGCACTTAGTAAAGGTGAGAGATGTCAAGCGATTTCATCAAGCGTCGCAGCAAACGACGAGGGTGAACTTATCGACGAGAAAATATCTATAGTATTTTGACAATTATTATAAATGCGACTTTGCTATCGTTGGGGATTTATGTGCTGACTCTTGATTTTATCGAATAATTAATTCGAATTCGTAATTCACGGAACCGCTGAATGACACATTACACGAACACTGCTTCCACAGTCAATTCCATGGACTGCAATGTCCCGTATTTTTCACTAATTAAATAAAAAGCGAAAAATTAATTTGAATCTAAGTATGAAATATTAAAACCTTAACATTTGCATGTTGTCCATGTGCATCAATCAATGATATGCTAAAGCCTCGAATCAATGTGACGAAGAACGGATAAGGGTGAAATTGCAACGCAATTTCAATGAAATCGATTGCATGCTTTTTCTACACAAGAGACATGTATTTTTTTGTTTGTATTATGTACACAAAATGTCCATTAAATTAGATTTAGAGACAAAAGACATTATTCAGTCGCCATCGTGGTCATGTGATCAAATAATGTAGTTTCCTTTTTCTCTTCGAATGAATTCGTTCAACCGACACACAAGCAAAGATATTCCCAATGACGTTAAATGAACGGCAAAAACTAACAGTGTAATTCTTTATTTATATCAATGATTCAATATCAAATGGAGTCCAACACGAGCTCGTTGAATTTTAAGCGCGTCCAGTGACGCATTTTTATACATTTTGCGTGCTCAATTATAACAAATAATTTACATACGAAACGCTTTTCACAAAATGTCATTCTCTTCACATAACAAACCAAATAATATATACACACAAAATTATTTATGAAGGTCAAGCGGCTCGTAAATATTTACCATTAATCACCAACTGTGCGATGCAAAATGAGGTTTTCCACGAATCACCCCAACTCATACAATTTTATTTATTTTATTTCACTGTTGTATACATATTTACACCGAATCTAATCTCAATGTAGGCAAATTTGGTCAAGTTCAAATTGAATTCGGAGAAAATGAGTTTAGTGTCGTCCCTTTATGCCATTCAAATAAAATTCGGAACGGTTTTGTTTGAAATCCATTTTTGAATAAATACCATTTCATGTTACTTATCGCGATTTCTATTTAATAAAATCGTCGCCGGTTGTTTTTCCATTTGAAATATTCATAAATTTTGTCTGATTTCATGTTTTCTATCCATTTCAGGTATGCCAGTCAATTAAAATCACCGAGTCACGAGGAACGTCGACTACATACCGAAGAATTAAATCGAAAAAATGCTCAACAATCTGAATTCGAGCGAGTTTCCATTGAAAATGATGGACTCACGAATGGAAGTCATACATTAACGCCGCACAAATTTGTGGAAAATAATGCTCAAAATGGTGGTGCAACACAAATGGACAGTGATGGAGAGGATATATCGATTGTGGCCAATGAAGGCCAACGACCATTATCGCATGCATCAACCGCAACAACGAGAAGCATACAAGATGAAGCAAGTAGCCTTGGCGCTTTGGATAGAACCAAAAGTGCTTATTCAATTGGACAATCGTCCATCGAAGAAATTATTTCCCAAAAATCGGTTGCCACCACCGCTGATAACCTTGACGTAGAAAATGAGGCAATTGATACATCACTCGAACATATTCAAAATGAAAATAATGAAAAATTAATTGCTGTCGAATCGCATACAACAAATGCGATGATTCATGATCACGATGCAATTGATGGTATTGAACAGACCGAAGAAATCCATATTGAAACGCAACCCGAACAATTATTAGACGCTCCCTATGTGTCTGTGCATAAACCAAGTTCAGATGAAAATGATCCACAGTCCGAAAGTGATTCGATAAGTATAATAAGTAGCGTGGAGAGTTCGGATTATCAAGCGATGCGTGAAAATACAGCGAAAACAATGACCGTCCCGATTGGTGATCAAAAAATTATCAATAAACCCATTCCGAAATTGCGTCCAGCTATTATTTCACGACGAAATAAAGTCACCCCCGTTAAAGCGTATCCATTGAGTGCAACATCGGGACCAAATTCAAAATCGGCTGCCTTGTTTGCGGCAAATTTGCGTAAATTTGATAAGCCACGAGAGGCATCAAATAGTTGCTTAAATCAATTGGACAATCCGAATTGGGAGACGACCATGATTGGATTACAAAATTTCGTTCGACTAATAAGACATCATCCGGACATTGTGGATGCACATATCCATGCATATTGTGTGGCATTATCAAAACAAGTGAAAAATTTACGATCACAAGTATCACGATCGGCGTGTCAAGCATCAGCTGAATTTTTTCAAACACATTCCAAACAATTGGAGACCGAATGCGAAGATTTAACCACACAATTATTCAATCGAACAGCCGATACGAATAAATTTTTACGGGCAGATGCATTCCGTGCCTTGAGCGCAATGTCGGACAATTTGCCACCAACAAAGGTGATTCAAGTCATACTAACACGCGGTGCAACACACCAAAATGCCGTTGTTCGTACAACAACAGCGAATTTGTGTAGTCGAATTGTTGGCCGTTTAGGATATGAGAAAATCTATACTTTGAACCGAGAACATCGTGATAAATTGATTTTGGCCTGCGCAAATTTCCTGATGGAAGGCAGTTTGGACACACGAAACAATGCAAAAGCATTTTTCAAACAACTTTCAACACATCCGAATTACAATCGAACACTACAAGACGTTATACCGCCACGAATTTACCGAAATATCGAAAAAGCATTACGTTCTATTAAGTAAATTATGTTATGAATTTATTTAGGGGAAAAATACCTATGAAAGAGTCTGATAATTAACATTTTGACTCCTGTATAAAACTGTATATAAATTAAGATTTAAAATTGCATTTTTTTCTGTTGGAAAAGGGAAAAGGTGTGACGAATAACCAGATATGTGAAAAATCGATATGTTTTTCATATTTTCTAATATAATTCTTCCGTTTAAGTTGCGAACACCTTTTCTCTCATAGATACATTATCTCTTTATCATACCATTAGACTGTAATCATTAGAGAAAATTTGTTTTTGTTAAATCCTCATTTTATAAGTAGTCAAATATAAAACAGAAATATAAAGGCGAGAACGACAATGGAGAATGCAACACATAGCCTCGTCTCGCTTAAATTTCCCGACTACATAGAGCCGTGCATATCACTCGAATACACTTCAAGTGTAATAAAAATGAATCTTTATCACCTAAATATCGTTTTATCGTTGTCCAGATCTTTAAAAATCATTGAATTTTAAATAAATGAATTTAAGAATAAATTACGATTCATTTGGTGTAGTTTTATGTATTCTTTTGATTTGATCTTTTGAACCCTTTAGATGTGACTGGAATCCACAGGGTGCCAAAAAACTCAAACTATTCGGCCACTGACTTCAAACAAGTGGGAAAGTAAATTCAAGAAATTAGAATTTAGAAGAAAAAAAATATATCTATTTTCCACCGTTGCAAAGAAAAAAGAGGTGTCTCAAAGCAAGGCATATTTATTGTTATTTTCCTTTCTCTTGTTACGGAATTTCAAATGGTGAAATTGTAGCGCCAACATGTAATTGAGTTGTGTCGAAAGTGAAAATCGGTTAGCAATGGACACAATGTGTATATGTAAACTGTACAGATGTAAGGAAATTCCTTCGGCTATTGTTCCGATTTGAGAGAAAAAAAAGTTCATCCATTGAAACGAAAACAATAAATTCTTCAAATATATGTAAGTATACACTTGGTAATTATGTAAACAAAAAAACATATAGATTGCATATGAAACGTTCATAGTGTTTTTGTTCAAATAACGAAGAACAGACGTTCAAACAGAACAGACACTGGGCACGAAAGCGACTGATGAAGAAAGTCAAAAGTAAAGAGATGCAAAAACGTTATATTTCTTATATGACTGTTGTTTGATGTGTACATGTGCGAGCGACCGAATGAAACGATGGAAACTGAAGAATTGGAAGTGTATGCGACCGTATCTCGGCAACAGTACGGGCAATAACAATTCCAATACACATACTAGCGCACGTATAAAAACAATAATAATCATGAAATAGAGTAGCCAAAAGGAAACCGGTGTATAGAATGTACGCTGTAGAGCAGTGTGAAAGAAAAGAATACGATGATAAACACTATTTTAATTGGGATTACAACACACAGGTACGATTACCTATACTCACGTAACATTCACACACGCGAACATAGCATGGTAGTTGTACGAACGGATCGAAGAGAGAGAACACGATATGTTTGTTAAATGACGGGCAGACAGTGTGTATAGCAATGCATATGTACCTGTACACTTTTTAGCCTGTGGCCTGCATGTATTTATTATATGTTCTACCTGTTTTTTTCTCGCTCTGTCTCTCTCTGTCGCTCGCTCTCTTCGATGCTCTTTTTTGTTTTGTTACTGCACAATCATTGCATTGCATTGTTGTTGTTAATATGTTTCTTCTTCTTCAATTTTTTCCTCAGTTCACTACTCATTTCTCGTATCGTATGTTGTTGTGTGTTGAACATGAACATGCATTGCCGTTACGCTGATACACACACTGTGTGTGTACTGAAAGAAAAAAATAGCAACACTTATGCACGTAAATAATTTTTATTACGCCTGTATATTATTATAGAATTTACGAATAACATATATTTTGGGATGGCAAGTCACGGCCAACAAAAGGCTAGGATATGCTTCTCACACGCGAAACGCATTATTTTCACATTTCATCGTTACTACGCATTTTATTCGTTCGCTCACTCGAATCAATTTCGATTCATTCACGAAATTAGTGAGGCGCATTTAATTTTTTCAAAAGGAGAAGCAATTAAATGAAATGAAAACAATCGCGTGGATTAATTAAGATTTACCATTCAGAGTATACATTTAACTAAGATAGTTTTGCGTACATTTATCGATTGAATTTTATTTTTGTCTTAATTAAATGGCTTTCATGTTATCAAGAAAATACTAAAAAAAATGTCAAAACATCAACCACTTAAAAGGCCAACAAAAGAAACAATGCATTCAAATGATTCGCCAATCATTCAAATCGTCATTTAATTTTTGGGGGGTCATTGTCGATTGATTTGTGCATTCGGTATTCGAAAATGTATGGACAAAAAAGGCCAACTTGAATGCGAAAATACTTTCGCCGAAGTAAAATGCACATTATTTGTCAAATTTGTTGGACATATTAAAATGTAATTCGTTCGCGACGAAAAGACTCGGTTTCGAATCGAGCATACATGACGGCGCGTATACACATACATTTTGAATTTTTACCATCCAGCCTGTCCCTTTCTCACTCTCTTTTTGTCCGTTTCGCATAATTTTGAATGCACAAAACAATGTACACAAGAAATCGATGCAATTTATACACATATTTGGATCTCTCTTGGGTAGAAAAATGTGCAATGCAGAGCAGCATTAAATCGAGCTAGCGAGAGCGAATGCAGAGAAAAAAAAATATACACACACACGCCATGAAAACAGATTGAATGCATATATTCGAAGGGACAGTTTGACTACGCACATTCTCTACGCTGCGCTGCTGCTGCATAGCGATGATGCTTAGAGAGTTTCTTTTTGTTCGCTTTTTAAACAGGCAATTTAAATTCATTATAAAATTATGTTAAAAAGGTGCATTGGTTTGCGGGACTGCACAACGGCGACGACGACGACGACGACAACAACGACAACAACAACGAAGACAAGCAACAAACACAGTACCAGCAGCAAAAACAGCATTCTTCGTACCGAATGCGTGTTAGTTGTTGTCGTCGTCGTTGTTGTTGTTGGTGTTTTGGTTGAGATTCTGTTGCGCGCATTCGTCCCTTTTCATCATAGCGTCTGGTACATTTGTTTCGATCATCATCTTTTATATCATCATCGTTTCGGTTTTTGATGTTATTTTAGCGCGTCAACGACGAAGAGCTAAAACTACAAATATGCCCTGGTACCTGTGTGATCACAGCAAGCACTCACCGAACGTTTCCTCGTACACATATAGAGACGATGTGAACTGAATCACATCAACTAACGAACATAATTTGCGAAAAATGTATATATAGTCATCGATATATAAACCATTGACGATTTTTGCTGTGTCTCAATGCGCACAACGAAAATTCCTTCGATAACAATACCAATGAATCTCATTCTACGCTACACATTGCATTGTGTTTCTCTCTCTCCTTCTCTTTCTCTTTTGTCTTTTTTTTAATGACAAAATTTCGTTTGCACTTGCTTGTGTGCGTTTTAGATCATTTTTCTGGCTTAAAACCAACTCTTTCAAAATCGTAGTCGAATAAAAAAAAAGAAGTAAAAAAAACAAAACAACAAGAACGATTTTTTTCCCAAATCCATATGTGTGTACAATGTACATACATGACAACACAGGTAAATACAAATTCAAATGGCTTTCTTAGCATTTTCATCATCACCACGTTTGAAAGAGTGTGCGTGTTCTCCATCTCTGTTCATCACAGAACAACCATTCGATTGGCATTTTTCTTCTTTAGACATTGGCTTTTTTTTTATCAGCATCGTCGTCTTCGTTGCATGTGTTTATTGCTCTTTCTTCCCATTTGATTCCGTATTTGAGAATCTTCGACGGTCGTAAGTGATCGTATATGTATGTGTGTTGTAGCAACTCAAATACATTGATTCGATCATGGTTGCTTTAAAAGGAATTGTAACAAAAAACGAGAATGAGAAAGAACGGAATACAAAAAAAAACTAGAAATTCCACCAATACACCGGCACACAATTGATATGGAATCGCCATCAACTAACACTGACTCAGTTAGTCTCACCGATCGAATCGGTTTTTTTTTTGTTTCTCTTCTTTTTCACTTTACATTTGATTGTTTCACATGTTTGGTTCAGAAGGCGCGAGCGCACAGTGCAACAAATAGTACTATACAAGCACGATCAAATACGCACACATCGACGCTGTCACTGGAATGTTTTTCATGTGTATTTACACTCACACGAACGCGCGCACACACACACGTTTTATTTACATCTCTTGATCTCGTCTGTACTTTGTGTTTTCGCTCTTTTTCTCACCATCATCGTCCATCGGCACCGAAGAAATTCTTCTTGATACGTGCAATTTAGCTATATGCAGCAGGCAACAACAACAAGCTCGACTTGGCTCTGCCATCGATCTAGCCACGGTGCTTTTGTCAGTTTCAAGTTGATCGTGAGTTAGTTGAGAACAGCGTCGCGCATGTACGTTTCATTATTTTTTTTGTTGTTCATCGTTTCTCAACGCAAATGTTTTATATTTCGTTTTTTTATTTTAAATTCTGTTTTAAAACGTGCTTGCGCAAAAATACTGTGAATTTTGATTGAACTGTTTTGTGAGCGAGAAAAAGAAACAGACAGTGGCTTAAAAGTAAGAAAAGAAAAAGAAAAATTGTTGTCATTTATAGTTTTTGCTACGTTTTTATTATTTACAACGAAAACAACGCAGAAAGTGAAAAAAAAACCAGCATACTCGAAAGGGAGATTCAAAAAGGAATCGGCCACATAGTACTATTGAATCGACTGGTGTTCAATGTAGTAAAAAGGAAGGAATAACAAAATAAACGACAATTGCACACAAAATTTATGGTTTTCAATTGAAATAAAAATAAATAATCCCATTTTTTTTTCGGTTTGTGTTGTCGCTTGGTTGCGCGTGCACACATATACCGTGAGTGTGTTTATCAGAAAAGTTCGAGCGAAAAGAAGGACATTTTGCGGTTTTTGTTCAGCAAAAGTGTTTTGTGTTTATTGGTTTCGATTCGCCAATTGGCTTTGATATGTGGATTCTGTTGTGCAATCGGCATCTGTAAATGATAAATCAGATAGTCCAACCGACAACGAGAAGACGAATAAATTTCATTTGGAAAATGCTGTATACGGATAAACATATTGAGAATTTTTCTATTAATTGCATGCCAATTTAAACTGAATGAGGTCGAATGTAGAAAAAGTGATGATCAAACGACATCAAAATATTGATATTGAAACTGAGATAAAGAGAGAGAAAGAACCATTTAATTGTCTGTCATAAATATCATCGCAAGAATTTTATGTTTATGCGTGTGACAATCGAATTCAGTTGGCAATTAATTGAGATTTTGCTAAGTGATTAAACGACGACCAACGCGATTCAAGCAACGACGAAGAAGAAAAACTCTTTTTTTTTACAAAAAAATAGTTTTGTGTCGTTCTGTTTTCCACGTGTGTTTGTGCAATTGTAAAAGTGTACGCCGCTGAAAATTCATAGTTTTGCAACTGGTTTTTGTTTTTTCTCCTGTTGTTCGCAAGAAATTGGCCTGAAATTTTTTTCCAACGTGATTTTTGTGTCGCCTATTGATTTATTTATGAGTACTTATGATGAGAAAAAATTATTACCTTCGATATAAACATTAATTGTGTATTTTTTTTTACTTTAGTTTTTGTGTGAAACTGTCTTGTGCATGAACGAAGAAAGAAACAAAAAAAAAACTCTTATGGATTTTTATATTGTGGAATTTTTCCGTTGTATGTGACATTTCGAAATTACGGTTAGTATTTAAGTTTTAAATAGATTTTTGCAGTGTTTGATTTTATATTTAATTGTGCTCTTAATTGGCAATTAGCCAATCGTTCAGCCGACCGAAAATATTCATTAAACGCCATCGAATAAATTATTATTTTAAACGAATGACATGCGTATTTCATTCCGCCGGCATCATTTTGCTGTCGTTCAATCAATCGATCGATCTTTTGGCGCTGGTGTTTCATAAGTGTTTTTGTCTCTCTATTTTTCGCTGGTTTTGTTTTATTTCGTTAGATTCATTTCCATAATGTGTAGTCGACGAATGTGATGGCAAGCCATCAAATAATTACCACAACGATCTAATGATTTTAATTTATCGATATTTTCTTCTCTATCTCTCTCCCTCGTGCGCGTTTTAAAGAGCTGGCGGTCATTTTCGAAAATTATAATGAGACCGTTTGCGATATAATGAATCGTTTAAGTTTGCATTTATTTGAAATGTAATTATGAATTTTTGTTTAAATATGATGAAAAAAATGGCCATTTAATATATGAAATCAGACCAAATTTGTGTGTCTTATTAACAATGCGTTTTGTCGCTTGCTTTTGTGTGACCATTTTGAACACGATTAAATTGACTGAAGTATCAACTTGAGCACCATTGTTGGGATTTTGTGTATCTGAATTTATTAGCAATTTAGATATCTGTTTTTGGTGATACATGTGTTCGAGTTCAATAAAGATGCTCAATATTGACTTAAGGAGCTTGATATGTCAATCAAAATACCAAATTTCGCATTTTTTTTTTTTAAATACCATTGGTAAACTATGAGATTTATTGCATTTATACATTGACAAAACCGAAAATATTTTGCATAACAACCTGTTAATTTTACCCACGCAATAAATTGAATTGGTGCAAACGAACGAAAAAAAAAAAACATGTAAATTTGATGCAAATAACTTCAAAGAATTTATTTTCGTAATGTTGAAAAGAGATCAAAGAAAAGGAAAATTAAAAGATTAAAGAAGATGAAAAGAACGAGAAAAAAAAATTATCCCATTTTGATTTTATCTCTTATTCTATCAAAAAATTGATTAAGTAAATGAGTCAGTGAAAACCGAATGAAAATGAGATCAATGTTCCGTTTCAAATGAAAAATGACACTTTTTCGAATGATAACCTTCCTCACATTGATGCTTCTCTGTGATCAGCAGTAGACTTCTTTTCTTATTTCGATTGAAAATAAAAACCATTTTAATTGGTTTCATTAAAACCGTGTATTTCCCATTATTACCAATGACAATGCAAGTTTCCTTTTAATTCGATTAACAATAGATCGAAATAATCATATCACTTTCCATTGTGGTTGAAATGAAAATGTTGGGTTCGTCGCCAATGTGGTGCAAGTCTTTCCTCCCAATTTGGTTGGCCTTTGAAATAAATTGTCAAATGCGACAATTCCGATTTTATACCTATTTCAAATGACATTACTCATTCTCAATGGCAGAAAAAAGGCGATTTAGGCATGTTTTATAGATGAAAAATAAAGCCATTGAAAAACAATAATTTTAACCTTATCTAAGAATTTTGATCTCCATTTCGGGCTATAGAAATGAAAGAAATGACAAAAAAAATATATAAAATTCGTGTCGAAACATACACACACATACATAAAGTCGATCGTTCGTTTTGTCGCATATCCACAAAATGCTCTTTCATAACATCATTTCGGAACGAATGTGACGGAAAAGAAAAGTAAATTCACGATAAAACCTGTCGGCCCATGTGACAGCTAAAGAATTAATTTCTATATATGCATTAATTCTCTCGATTGGATTTCGAAACCATATTTTCTTCACAGTATCGAATTTCATTGTTCAAACGACACAAAGAGCAAAAATTTCAACAAAACACACTCTCACACAAACTCAGTCAGTCCGTAAGTCAGATGTGAGTGAACGAGAAAGAAATTGAAAAAAAAAAACGATTCGAATAGAAAAGAGAAAAAGTGTATATAGTATTTCGTATATCTGGGTTTTTTTTCGTGTCCATCCGTATCGCTATCGCCTTTATGTGCATTGTGTAGGTATGTACGTAGTAACAACAAGGCAACAAATAAATCCTCAAACAAACAAAAAAAAATACCGTAAAAAGAAATTCTTAGAAAAGAGCCACACGGAAAACAGCATTGTAACTACGATGACGACGACAGCGAAAAAAAGACTCAATAAAAAACACCACGCGGCAGAGATTTCGAACGAAAAATATCGCATTGAATTGAAAATGTGTATACATGTTGAGTGAGAGCCAAAGAGAGTTTTGAACGTTTCACACCACACCTTCATTGTCGGACGCGATCATTGCATACGATGTGTTTATTTTTTTTATTTTTTTCTCTAAACATTCCTTTTTCCGATTCTTTTCCATCAACAATTTTTGCACTTTTCGCTCTATTCATAATATTCACACAGACTGTATTGATGGCTTATACATGTGTGTTAATATTATGTGGCCGGCCATTCATTCGACATAGAAAAAGAAAATAATCAACATCGCTTTGGCACACTACGTTTATCAATATCGACGATTTTCTACGGTGCACGACGGTTTGCGGGCGAGAATTTGAAAGAATATTGACGCACTTAGACAGAACGTCGATTGCAATATGTCGGAAGAGCAAACCGGACAAAAAGAACAAAAAAGGAACACCAACATTACATTTGCACAGTCATGATCTCCTTCGTTTTGACTGGCACAACACACAAAAAAATGTGACCTAAACGTGGTCAAAATCAATTCGACATGATGTAATGTGCCAAGTGTAAAGTGTCGTTTGTAAATGCAACAAAGCCGTATCGTTCGTACTGTCATCTTTCTCTCTCTCTCTCTCTCTCTCTCTCTCTCTCTCTCTCTCTCTCTTCCTTCTATTTCTAAATTCGATGTTTGCATTGTGTATGTGATACACAATATTTGAAAATTGGTTTGTTTGTTCTCTGCTCCATTTCAGTGTTCAAATACTTGTATATAAATACACGTTGTGCGACTTAAATGGACTGCATCTAAAATGCCAAACCGGAATAGAGGGGCAACGATAGAGGTGTATTTCCATTTCTAATTTACACACACTCATTTTTTCTTCTCTCATCGTTTTGTGTGTATCCTTTTCGATTTAATACAAAGATATTTCTAACGTACTGTTAAATTTTTAACCGACTTTTGCATGTTTCGTGTTTCAAATGGAATTTTTCAATTTGGTCGCTTTGTTTTTATTTCTACCACTTAATTTATTGGTGCACCGTTAATATTAGCGCTCACTTTTCCTATTGCTCTCTTTTGATTTTACTATGTTAACGTTTGTTCAGATTTTGTCATTGCACTGGCATCACAAGCGCGGAAAAAGCCTTTTTCTTTCTTCACAACCACACACACACACAGAGTGAGAGAAATAGATAGCGTTGAATAGACAGAAATACAACGCACACGCGCACATTTTTCGATAAAACCATTTCGCGTGGGGATTTCTATTTTTTCTACATCATTTGCGCGCAACAAAGTTCAGATTATGCCATTCAATGTGATACCAGCCATCCTTCAACACGAAATCAAAGCATAAAATATGTGATATTTGCATGCCGTTAATTTGTTGCAAACTCCAACAGCTCTAGATCAAGAGAATACAAAATGCGAGAAAATGAGAAGGAAAGAGAGAGAAAGAGAGAGAGAAATAAAAGTCCAATCAGATCATGTGAAAAAAGAGCGAAGCAACGATATCCGAGCCATTTCGTTTTAAAGCAATTGTAAAACATTCATTGAAGTTGGATTTTATGTTTTTATCGGCAATAAACTGTTTCGCCATTCGATC